TACAAAGTAATCTAATCTGTGTTTCTCTTCCTGAAATTCTACAGATCATGGAATAAAAAAATCTCATCACCCCTACATTCAACAAGTCAATCTTATGCTACCCATGTTTTTCAGTACATGTATGTGCATATATTTGTCCAGTGGCTGGTTCTTAAACTGGGAATCTATGTAAAGAAAATACCATTATAACAAACCATTAACAAAGGCACCAAACTACTCCAACAGCTTCCTAGTTATTTGGCCACCATTCCTTTGCATTTAAAAGCTTCCATGCAGCAGTCAAGTGGTGAAGACACTGGGCTTGTTGAACAGAAGTTTGGCAGTTTGAGATCAAGTACTTCATGACAGAGAGAGCTCCTGTACTTGCTCCAGGCTCCTGCCAACCTAGCAGCTCGAAAGCATGTAAATGCAAGTAGATAAATAGGTACCATTTCAGTAGGAAGATAACAGTGATTTATGCACCTTCAGTGTAAAGTCATGCTGGCCACATGGCCATGGAAGTGTCTTCAGACAATGCTGGTCTCCTCAGCTAAGAAATGGAGATGAGCACCAGTCCCTAGAGTCAGCCATGACTGGGGGAAATCTTTATCTTTTTTTAAAGAGTTGTGAAGGGTAGCAATTTTGTAACTGGACATTTTTCTTAATTGCTCTGATGATGGTGGCATGTTACTATGGGGAAAGAATAGTTCTAAATAGTCATAAAAAGTTGAATTCCAGAAAGTAAGGTTGAACTTTGGGGTATGGGAGATGGGAAAGGCAGGGGAAAGGAGGCAGAGAAAAAGAACTCAAGGAGGTAGGGGAATTGGAAAAAGAAAAATATATCCCCCATAAAGTCTTCAGAGTCACAGCAATTTAAAGAAAGCACACAACTGTTTCCAATAAATTTGAAATATATCAACACTAAAACCAGATGATGTTTTTAAAATCTGTTGGAAGGGCAGTGAAGACATGAAGTAGCTTTCCAGGTCTCAGGAAAATGGCAAGAGATTCAGGGGATGATTCTGGAATATTTTTTTATGCATTTCCCATGCTTCCTCCCAAACCCAGTCTTCTGTGACTTATCATTCAGTCATGTGTTTTCCCCATGTTTCCTTACAGAGAACAGGGGAAAGAATGAGCAGGAGAGAAAATGGTGGCAGTAAGAGGAGAAGGTGTCAATCTGGAGCCATTGGAGTCTTCATGAATTTTGCCCATATCTTCCAGAAGCACTAGCGAGGATTCAACCATCCTACTCTTGGGTTTGTCCAAATTTCTCTAACAAAATTAGAATTTGAAGCACTTTTGTTTGAATCCATGCAGTATAAATATTCTGTTTGAAATGACATTAAGTTGCCATGTGGGTTCTAATCAGATAGTAAATATCTACAAACATGAGACTACATGGCAAACAATATGTCAGAGTGATTGTTAATAAAGAACTTGGTAAAACTGTTGCCAGGAAGGAAATGAATAATGAATAATGAATTATGAAAAAGGGATACCTTAGGGTAGTAGGAATGGAATCTAGAATGTTTTATCAATCTCTTCTGAAATATTTTGTACTGTTTTATTTTTATTAAAAGATGCAAGTTCCATTGGGTTTAGTGAAATTCTTGGTTCATTTCATTAACTAAAATTTAATAAAATTATGTACATATAAAAAGAGAAGACAAGACCTAATAGAAGAAAGAATTGGGGAAAAAACTTTTTATGAAATCATGGTACCTTGACTCATACAATCTGTTAAGATAAAAGAAAAACACCTTTCATCATGAAGCAAGAAGAAAAGATATGCATCCTATAACAAAGATTTGATCATGAATATTGAAGCAGATATCAACTGTATTTTATGTGCTCCTGCAGCAAACAACTGTTGTTGTGCATACTATGAAGTTCTGTGATATGTTTTACAGAGTCAGCATATTGGCCCCAACAATCTGGGTCCTTATTTTACTGACCTTTGAAAGATGGAAGGCTGAGCTAATCTTGAGCCAGTCAGTATCAAACACCTGCTTCCTCTTCAGCAGAGTGAAAAGGGTGCAGCCTTCAACGCACAATCAAAGGAATGTGTAAATAGAAGAAAAAGAAGAAAATGAATGGGTGTTAAAAATAATTAGCTAACTAGGGCAGGTCCAAACAAAGGAAGAAGGCACACCTATGCTTTCCTCTGTTTTTATCTAAATAGGGGGATCCACCTGGTTACTAGTACAGAAAATATACTTCAGTTATTAATTCAGGAAAATGAAGCATCATTTAGATCAACTGGATCATGATTCCCCCTTGGGAAAAGAACCATGGCTTAGTAACAAAGTAAATGTTTTGCATATGAAGGTTTTCAGCAGTACTTTCCATTTCATAACTGCAAAATCGAAGGATGATATTTTAATCCCTGGGTTATCAGGGAGAGTAGACAATTTTAGGTGAAATGATTGTTTGTTCATTTGTTTTTTAAAAAGAAATTGATTTTGTTTACAGAAATCACAATCAATTTGCTATCTTTCATACACAACAGAAACACGCTGTATTTAAAAAAAAGAAAGATCCTGTATTTAAAAATAGAAATGGCAATGGTCAGCAGTAGCCAGTGAGCAGAATTTTAAAACCTTCCTCAAAATCACCAAAGAGGAAATAAATAATGTCCTCCTCTGAATCAATGTACTGTGTCCAACTCTGGTTTCCCAACTCCTATAAAAGTTATTATGGCACAATGGTCAGTATTGCAGGCTAACTCTGCCCACTGCCAAGAGTTCGATCCTGACCAGCTCAAGGTTGACTCAGCCTTCCATCCTTCTGAGGTTGGTAAAATGAGGACCCAAATTGGTAAGGCCAACATGTTGACTTTGTAAACTGCTTAGAGAGGACTGAAAACAGGGATGGGATTCTACCAGTTTGCACCTATTCGCTAGAACCAGTTGTTAACATTCTAAGCAGTTCAGAGAACTGGTTGTTAGAAGAAATTACTGGCCTAATCTTGTAAGAAAGGTAGAAAGGAAACATTCTGATGTTGCTTACAGAAACTGCCTCTCCATTAACCCTTATTACATTCTTGGCAGGACTAGACTTCCTGTCTCAGGAACTTCTCTGGAATTTTTTTTCTCTCCTTTGCTGGTACTTTGCTTGTGTGGAGTGACCATTTAAAGTTACAATGGCACTGAAAAAAGTGACTTATGACCATTTTTCACACTTATGACTGTTGCAGCATCCCCACCATCATGAGAGGCCAGGTGAGGAGATGCATGCCTTGATGTGGGTGATATTGAGTTGGCCACACCCAGGCAATCACATGACCACCAAGCCACATCCAACCAGTTATATGATCCCCCAGCCACGCCCATCACCTAAGCCACACCCACAGAACCGGTTGTTAAAAATCTGAATCCCACCCCTGGCTGAAAAGCACTATGAAGCAGCATATAAGTCTATTGCTATTGCTATCACAGAACTTCATAGTCTGCATAACAGCAGCTGTTTCCTGCAGGAGCACATAAAATACACTTGATTGCTGCTTCCAAAACCATGCCCTAATCCTTATTATACAATGCATATTTGTTCTTCTTGCTTCATGATGAGGCTTGGTTGGTTAATAGATATATTATTAAAACCTCAAGGCTGGTTGTAATGACAGGACAACAGAGAAACCTGGGAGACTTGGTTTTTATTCTTCCATCAAGGAATGACAAAGGTACACTAGAGATGGAGTATTTTTAAATCTTTCTTCCAGCAGCAATGTTGATAAAGCATCACATTTGACAAGACTAAAGGCTGTCTTGAATGCTGAATGTATTGCCAAAACAAGATACCGAAACAGCCATTAGAAGCTGAAGAGAAAATGTCGGGCAAAAAGATAAAAATGAATTGATGTTTCTGAGAAATGCCTCCCCCACCCCCCACCAAAAAAAACAAACAATGGCTTTTGGAAGACATTTTGGATACATGAGGGAAAGGTGAAAAAGCTGTAGATGTTTTGTGGGGGTGGGGAGAGATAAAGTGATAATAGGTGATGGCAAAAAGGATCATATTTCATTTTTAGGCCCATTTTAGTTAGAAGGAAAGCCCTTAACAACCAATAAAGGAGAATATTTATAGCTCAGAATTGAATTGAGAGGTCCTTGGTGCTCTCTGAACTAGGTTGTTTCCTTGCAGATATTTCATTACCCAAACTAACATCATCAGTCCTAGTCATCAGCATTGTTCGGGTAATGAAACATCTTCAAGGAAACAACCAAGCTCAGAGACCACTAAGGATCCCTCAAAGCCCTAACTGGCCATTGGTGAGCTATTAGGAGAGAGCTGCATTTCAGTTAAAAAAGGAAAGCTGATGCAAATGAATTCAAGTTTCAAGATGAATGAGATTTTATGTATCAAAGAAACAAGAAGTCATATTAACAAATCTGTGTGGATTCCTGGAAAACTCCCAGAAGTTTACAGCAAAAGTTCTTGTGTTTGAAAGAAGAAAGAGGATCCAGGATTTACAGACCTGCTGGCCAAGGTCCTTGAGTAGATTATTAAACAACATCACTTAGATATATACATGTTGTTTATAATACCCAGCTTTTATCAAGCATTGGAAAGCTGTTGTGATTCTTCTTCACTGGGGGAATTGATTTTAATGGATAATACAGGATAATAGAAGTCTGTAGAAACATTTTAAATTCGTATTTCCAAACTGTGGACTACCTATCTCTAGATGCTTAGTTGAGGTGGATCCTTCATGTCCATCTAATACTTAGAATTAATCTTCTCTATCTACAGAGGTGCCATTCGGAGTTTCTGAGTGAATTCATGGAAAAAATTATCATTAAGTTAGAAATCTTTTCCAAACTAGTGGCTCCCAATCCATTCCTAAGTGATTGCAAAATCAATTTTGAAATTCACTTTTGTGATACTTTAAAAAAAGAAAAAGAAACTCAAAATGCATAGTATTAAAATTTATTTTTGACACTTTTAGGCACACTGTGAAAGTAAAAAATATAATTAAAATTATATCAATATGATTTAAATAATTACATCAATAAATTATACATTCATTCTCATTAATACATTTAAAATGGCTACAATTCGAAAAAAAAAAAAAGTTCCTGCATAGAACTTATTTAAATTGTTCAGTTGTTAAACTGAATTATTTTGTCTCTTGTTTTTATAAAATGTTCTGGGAATGGAAGAATTAAGTAAAAATATTGAATAAATATACACTTCAAATCCAGCAGATTTAATCGTATACAAAAAAAGTCAACATCTTGGCTTTCAAGCAGCTATAATCTAAACACCCAACCAAGACCAGCTTGCTGAGATAAATTAGTTTTCTTGGGATCTTTTTTTTCCCCTAGAAGAAATGGAAACCTATTATAAAAGCAAACTAATCTGCTTGATAAATACATTGAACAAATGCAGAAAGAGCATGATTCTGTAGCATAGTATTTACAGTGTAGTACCAGTTATATAGCATTTATATAATACAAGTACTGCATAAAAGGTATGAAGAACAAACAAAGCAATGAAAGACAAACAGATAAAAAGAGGCAACACTGATCAAGAAGAAGCACTAAGGGAAAATATTAAACATTCAGTTCAAGAAAGGGCAGGAAACCATGTTGCTGAAGAAAAGACAACTAGAAAAAATCATAGCTACAGGAAACCTAAAGATACATAGGTGACCAATTTAAGTAAGACTGTATTGTCTTAAGAAAAATGCAAATAGTTCAACATAATTTGTTAGAGATTCTACTCTGTAAGTTACAGTGATATAACACTAACAAGACTTTATTAAGAGCACCCTAATGGTACTCTTTGGTGATCCTGAATTTCTTGTTCCAGCCAGCAATATTTTTCCCTTTCATCTTTCAAAAAGAATCTCCACAAATACTATCAAAGTTGGGTACTATTTTCCCTCCAAAAGATAAAATTCTTAGCAAGTAGTGTATTAGATGCTATTAGATTTCAATATTTCTTCAGCTTATTTAACATTTAACAAACATGTTACAAAATAACTGCATTTTTTCAAGTTATAAGTCAACTGCAGAATCTATAATCTACTTGAACACTCAAAATAATATTACACAAAATGTAGTGTTAAGGTGTTAATGTTGAACTGGCTTTCTTTGCATAAAGTGCAATGCTAAGAGAGATTCTAGATTTCAAAATCATGCTGAAATCCAACAAGAGTGGATTATCCAGAACTCACCTTCGCCCCTATGGGAGATAGGCTCTATCCCACCATGATATAGGAAAATAAAAAGAGAGTTACCACATACTCTATGGAAACCTGATGGCAAATTTAAGAGAAAAATGACTTAATGTCTGATCATTGGATAACTATTGAACTGTTTAATGTAAAAGTTGAGTTTTACGGGAACTGGGCAATTTTCTTTCAGTTTCTGAAAATAAAAAAGGATTCGGATGACAGATTTGAAAACACTAAAAAACAAACTGTATTTTGGTGGGGTTACTTGTTCCTATTCATTTGGTAAGGCAATATATAGGAACTGAATAAAAAAGCAATGCCTTTTATTTAAGGGAAGAGGATCATTCTTTTGCTTAATTGAGATAAGACTATGCAGGAAATGAAATTGGGTTGTAAAAAATTCTGTTTTCAAAATCTTACAGTTTGTCATATAAAATTCATTTTCTGCTCCCTGATTTTCTATCAGTTAACAGAGTCCAGTTTAGACATATCATAATTTTTTTGGTCAACAATATTGTAAAAGTGCATAACTCCCTACTTTTCTATTTCCAATTCATTTGGTAAGGCCCTTCTTGAAGAAGTTAACTAGTTAAACCCTTTTTCAGTGTTGAATTAATAACACTTAACCTGCTTTACCATCATAATGTCATGTTGAAAAAAAAAAAAACCACACTCAAATTGTTGTGTTTAAAGCAGCAAAACTGTGATCCTTGATCCATTTTGGAATATCTCACATATCTCATTGAGGTACAGAAGATATAATGAGGAATGAAGAGAACCTGTCCTGCGAACCAAAGCAAGAACCCCTTCAAGTCAGACGCCCTGAATTAAATGCCAATGCACAGGAAAATATACAGAGTTCCATGGCAGCTTTGATTGAAATATAAATAAATATTGTTATATAAATAAATTAATAAATAAATATACACCAATAGTGATTCCCACTCCCCTCTACAATTCAGTTGACCGTTCTTTGAGAAGTACAGCAGGGGTGATTTCATCCATCGACCTGCTGGATGCACTGACATTATTTGTTGCCAATGTTTCAGAGCTGAGGACATGGAAAGCTGTGCCAGGGCAGCCCTTCACATTATTGCAAACAAGGCTTTGGAGTGAGGCTGTATTCACGATGTCAAAGCCCACTGTACCCCCAAAAGTACTTGGCTTCCAGTATTCAGGTGAGCAGATGACATTTCCCAGAAGACCTTTCAAGGAGAACGGAGCGCCAAGTTCTATCATGGTCTCACCAAAGATGGCTCCGGGACGTGGCTTTTCAATAAGAAGAGCAGGGTATAACTCCATAGCATCAATGTCTCCATAAAGTTCTTCAAGTTCTGCAGCCATTTCTTTTTCACCTGTAATAAAGGTATCTGTATTCAGTACAAAAGAAACTCTTTTTTCTTGATCTGTGATGACTGTACGTGTTTCTTTTAAAAGTAGAAATCATTAGCTTATTTTTACTCTTTTGTTTTTTACATGATACATTGCGCATTTTTTTATTTATAAATTTGATAAAATAAAATGTATTGTTTCAATATTGCATTTTAATCTTGGTGAGTCAGCACAGAGGATAGTTGAACCCAATGGACCTGCTACTTCCATCCCTTAAAAAAACAGTGGTGCAATTCTTCCTAACCCAGGGTCACAATCTGCTTTAAACCATTGCAGAGATGGGTATTTCATTATTAAAGTTAATGTAGCTAATACTATAAGTCTGTGTATTTGCAACTCTCAGTGAAACTCTCAGTTTAATCAACTTCCCCGTTGATTAAAAGTCATAATTCAATGGCAATCTGTAGTGAAGCTTTCTAGGTTGTGTACCCTTTCCTCAGTTGGCGAGGCAAAGAATTAGACTGGGGACACAAGATCTACCTTTGAGGTACACACATGCTTGCTTGCTTGCATCCATGACTTACCAGTAAGTTCTTCAAATGACGTGAAAGGTTTCAGCATAAAGAACTTTCGGTATTCGTTCAAGGATCGGTACCTCATCTGCCGGCTTTGATCAATGGAAGCTTTAGCTACTTTCTGCACTACAGCAGGAACATTCCTACCTCCAGCTACCTGTTGGCAAAAATAATAATATGAAAAATCATAACAAAAGACATGGTGTGAATTATATTAGGCCAGAGAAAACAGTGTTATTCATGTAAAGGTTGTTATGCTTATTGATCTCTTGCTCTCAAAGAAAAATAAGTATGGAATAGGAAAGATAATATAAGTTAGTATATGTCTGTCTATTTTCTAAATTAAACTGGTTTGGCTACTTTCAGTCACATATTTGCATTACCTCTGAAAATTACCAAAGTCTAGTTTTCAAAGAGAAATGAGTTAGGATTTTACACATACTCAGATCTGGTTTATTAAAAACAACAGATAGTTGAAACTCTTTTAGCGGATATCTAGTTTTATATGTGGAATGAGTAAACAAATGGAACATTTCCTCATGTGTTCTGAAGCAGAAGCTGAGAGCATCCTCCTTTGCATAAAAGGAGGATACTTTTCTATGTTCCTAACATGAAACAATGAAATAGTGTCCTTTGGCATAAGGCTACTGGCTGACCTCTGTTGTATATGCTACATATAAAGGCCATTCTCAATATGTAGCATAAGATTGAATCATATAGCTATCTCAATTAAAATTTCAGATAGTATCAGACCAAGTATCAAAAGAGCTGTTCTTTTTCTGTTCTTAAAAGGTTTTCAGATATGGCAGTGATTTAACAAAGGACAGCTATGCTATTATAGAAGTTGGGAAGTTTAGATGCATACATAAATAAATGTCTGTTTCCTCGTGTCAGTTGAAATGCAATTTTGATCAAGGCGGAAGACAGAGGAGAGAAGAGTCTTACCCTTCCAGCCCTTTGTTTGGAGAAAGACTGCACCATGTGAGAAAGGCCATGTTCTAACATAATGGAATTGTTATACATGAACTGCTGGTACGTATATTCTTGGTTTTGGATATGAAAGGTATCAGGCAGAAGAGGATGCCAATGGTAGAGGGTATTGAACTCTGCTGCTATTCTGTTCTGATATTGAAATCTCTGGTTGAAGAGAAGTTCTGGATCAAACTTCAGTTTGAAATGGTATCCACTTAAATGTTGCACGTAGTCTTCAATCACAATCTTGATGGTTTCTCCTTTAAGAAAATACACAATAAAATGAGCATTGCAGTTTAGATTCATTGACAGCGCCAAATACCTAAGCCCACTTTTCCAAAATGGTTTCTTTTGTGCCTGGCAGAATTCTGTACTGTAAATAAGCCAAATAATAAGCAAATAATCCCAGCTAATCTAAGAAATTATCTGTCTTGACTAACATTATATTTCTCATGTCTCTGTGAAGTTCAAATAGGGATTACAGGTGTAATAACTATCTTTTGGAGTTTTCCTTCAGCAAATGGTATTCGGACAGGTAATGCAAATTAATTGTCATATGTTGCATGGATATCGGAAAAATGCATCATAATAAGAAAGATTCCTTCCCATATTCTTTTCTACAACTGTTATCATTCCCCCAAAATTCCAGAGCTTATTATTTTCTATTGGCTGACATAGTGAGCTATTTGGTCCCTTTCTTTGAAAATTCTATAGCTATTCTAGATACACCTTTTTATTTTGAGAGAGTGAGACATATTTATATGTTTCTCACCCTGCCCAAACCATTTTTGATGGCATACTTGAGATCACTCTCGAAATCTATCCAATTTTACTTTTTTGTTCAAAAGCTCCTTCACAATTCAGCGTTAGACACCAGCTTTATACAATGAACGTCTACTTAACTACTGTAGCATGTAGATGCTGACAGAACCTCCTCTTTACATTTCTGAATAATATTATTTTTTAGATTCCACACAAAGATATATGTGTAATATTTGTTAAATTACCTGTCAAAATTAGTCTGGCAGTCTGAAATAGTCGTTCATCATCCCATTCTGGGTGTTCTCCTTTAAGAATGTCACAGACCCGATTATGTTCCCGGAGCCACAATGTGGCATACATCATGAGCCCTGGAACCAAGCCAAAGACCTCCTGTCCTACAGAAAATTTCAGGTGGTCAGGGATATGAGGTGGATAGATCATTTCTGCCTGAGTTTCTTTCACAGTAGGTGGATACATTTCTCCATCAATCATCTGTAATTTAAAACAAAAAACAAAACTAAATGAAAATTGAATTTTCATAGATGCAATTTATAAAAAAATTGAATTCTGGCCTACTCAATATTACTTCAAATAGTAAACTGATGGAAAAGTTAGTGAGTTGAGCCTTCTGCTTTCATTAGCTGAAATAGTCTTTTCTTTATAGGGCAGCAATACATCAAATAGAACTGAAGGAATTTCTCCAGGAAACACAAACCCACCTGAAATTTTAGCTTTCCATCCTTATAAAGTCTTAGTTTCATTTGCCTGTCCAAAGTCTCTCCATAGATGTGACTAAGATCAACCTGTTCACAGAACAAAAGACAAAAAGTTAGAATCAGTCCTTAAACAAGACAGTGAATGCCAGCCAGGGATAATGCCTACAAAGTTCTAGATCTCTATATGATACCGTACTGGGAGAGGGGACAATAAAAGAGCAAATTCCCTTGAATCAAAGGAATTTCAATATCTCATTATCTCAGGCAACATTTGTGCAAAATCAAGTTAAGCATTCTGAAAACTGTCAATATTAACCTCGGCTGGATTCAACATTTCAGGTGCTTAACTATATTTATAAAAGTTATATTTATAGGATGCAAAGTGAATGGTTTTCACAAAGACATTCCTGGCTCTTAGAAGATGCTGACAAAGCCAGTTTTTTGGATTAAAAAATTGATACAAGAATAATATATGTAGCGCAGCTAATCAGAATGGATGAAATGAAACAACTTAATTCTTTGAGGAACTGATTAGATGACAAAACATGTCAATCTTCCCAAAGAGAACAGATTAGTTGAGGGAGACTTCCTAGGAAGTGTACTACTTATTGCTGCATTTCTGCTGCTCCAGTAGAAATGCTTCTCCAGTATTTCCAAGATAATTATCTTCAACACAGCACTTAACAAAGTTTTTGCTTGTTACAACTTATCTAACTAAACTTACCCCATGTCCAAGACCTTTTGTGAAGCCTGGTCCTTTTTGAGTATCTGTCTTGAAGTACTGGTGAGTGAAATGCTGGGCAAAGAAGGTGAACATGACATTTGTGCCTTGAGGATCAGGAATGAATTTTCTCCTTAGCAAGAAGTTTTCTACAATCATTTTTGAATCTGGAAGCTCCTTCTTGCCTGAAATATAAAACAAACATTTATTTTTTGGCATTTGTAGATGAAGAAAGCCAACTACAGTTTGAAACATCCCTATTTCTTCCTGAAATGGAATTCCAATAAGGGGGAGACACAATACTTTTTTTCAGATTAGAATTGATCTACGTAATTATGCTACAGCTTGTCTTAGTCTCTTGCCTTAGTTTCAAATGGTGACTAATTCTGGGAGCCTACAGGAGCATGCAACCATGGGGCTGGCTGGTGCCCTGATGGTTCTCCCTTTGCTTTACAATTAATTTTAACAGTGACTAATCATACCTGTCTCTTTTTAAATGTTTAACTTTTGTGTTCTGTTCTTATATTTTAGCTTTGTACACCATCTAGAGCAGGGCTGTCAAACTCCTGGCCCATGGGCCGGATATGTCATGCTTTAGCCATGCCCACATCTGGTTTAGCGAAGGGGAAAAAAGTCCTGATATGTCACATGACTCCACCATGATGATGTGAGTTTGTTACCCCTAATCTAGAGTCTCTCTCTGAATGAAATAGGTGGTTCAAAAATGTGAAAAATAAATAAATGCATGAATTTGGTTGCCATGATTAATACTGCAGATATATTCATAGAGTCACCCATGCCCCATTTCTCTGACAAGTTTGACATAATATTTCATTGGAAAAAAATCTTCTATATTAATATCTGAGTTTTCCTAATATTTAAAGTTCCATGTGGGTATCGGTTACTTATGTTTCATGACAACTTGTTAGTCCCTTCTAGCCACACAATGAGGAAGCAATATCTGTTAATAAAAGTCTTGTATCTTATAATTTCCCGATCTATGTTATAACTTTACAGTTTTGGTTATTTGATCACAATTCCACTTCATTTATGAGATGAAGCACTTTTCCTCCAGTCTTCATGCACTAATTTGCCTTCCTTCCTTTCCTTTCTTACCTTTCACACCCATTGGGGTAGGGCAGTCATGATCCACTGGTGGAACAGCTCGAGCATAGTAGGAAAGATTGGAATAGACTTCCCAGCTTTTGAAGCCATGATGGCTATTATAGGTTGGTGGGCTTTCAATTAAATGGGATCTGGCTAAAAGAGGAAATGAGAAAAAATGTCTTAATGTTATATAACCTGCAACAAGCACCCATACATTATCTCATACATAAATTTTTAAAAGTATGTCCCAATAAGATGAAAAAATTATATTTTGGTTTCATCTCTCTTGACTTTACAAGTTTCAATAATGCAGTTGTTCAGCCTCAGCTTTGCTGTCAGTAAATTAGATATAATATCTTACAATTTTATAAAGGGGCTTAAATAGGTTTCAGACAAAGGGAAAGCAACTGGCAACACACTAAACCTTCTTCTACCAGCTGTATATTTCTTGATAATACACAGAGACTGTACATATATTCTCAACCAAACTGCAGATAATTTTGTGTAGGATTACAGAAATATCTTCTAGAAGTTGTTTAAATCACTGAACAGGATATTCTGTACTCACATATTATGCTAATAGATTTTATTTAGATGCACTGATTCAGACTCAGTTCAAGCACTTAGTCTATAAATGTTGCTAGAGTTTAAATACTGTTTATTTTTCAGACTTCCTCCTATAAGAGTTTTAACAGCAGTTTTATTTTTCATTTCCAGGAAAGAAAAATGCAAATTGAAGATGGGACTCTGAAAAATGGAGCCCATGACTTCACTAGAATGAAGAGGTGCTAGCAAACTGGATTTTTGTACTACTTGTGGCTCCTTTGGTGAGAAAGGGCAAAGAATAATAAAAAGAAATAAGTTATTTAATATGTTATTTGAATGGACTAAATATCAAGATTGCTAGAAATAAAAGGATGGATTTGTTTATTTGAGGAAGGTTACACACACACACACAGTGTGTGTGTGTGTGTGTGTGTGTGTGTGTGTTATCTCTGTTAATCCTCAATGGAATTTTGCTTACCAGGATTGAAGGATAAGGCTGTAAGAATTGATAAGAAATAAGATATGGGAAGAAGAGACCATTGGTATATTTTAAGAGAAGGTGATAACTTGAGTTGTTTATACTAGATATGATTAAGTCACTACTTTATGTATTTTTTTATTATACTTGTATTTTTCTTTTCTATTTTTGTTTCTTTTTAAGATTTATAAATATTTACTTAACATTCTATTTAAAGAGGATCATTTATTATTTATTAAAAATTTTATGCCACCCATACCACTGTTGCAGCAAGTCTGGGTGGCTTACAAAATGATAACAAATTATATCAAACATATTTAAAAAAAACAGAATTTCAATTTCCTGTAACTTTGTCAAATGCCATGACCAGTTTTTAATTAGAATTTTAATCAATGCATAAATGCTCTAAAGGGGAGAAATTGCTACAGATATGATTAGGATTACAACCTTCCTTACTTAAGGAACTCAAGATTTAAGAAACTCACTGAATTGCATTAAGTCTAATTTCCAAGTATACAAAAACAAGATTAGCCAGTACGAGCAATGTAATAGACTTGGAAGACTTACACATTAGAATGTATCTCATTATGGCATTGTGGAGGAATGGAATGTTGTTGATTATATCCCATATACCTTTGAAGTGTGTGAGTATATAGTGTACTGTGTCTGGAGAAGGCTTCAACTTAAGTCTGAGCCAAGTATAAAATTCCGCTGCATAAAAAGTATAAAAACAAAATGTATTAGGAAACAGTCTTTTATTAAGTGATTGCAAGATATACAGTAATTTAGTACTATCTACACTAGCATTTCTCAATATTTCTTTCGCAGATTAGTTGAAAAGAAATGCATCCTTGATTTGTCAACATCATCATGAAATTCATGAAAGTTATAGACTGTACGCTTGAGCCTATGTATTTTGTTTGCTTAATTACAAATGATTAAAACCTTCCCAACATACCTCCCTTAACCTTTAAATATAGTACAACTTTACCACTGAACACTGCCTTAGGCTACATTGATAGGAATCATATTTTCAGACACTTAAAAAGAAGTCTATCCTTAATCTTCCCAGCCATATTCTATAAAGGTTATGTTTAAAAAATAAATAAATTCATTATATCAATTATATTTTCAGAAATACATACGTTTAGTGCAATTTTCTCCATAAAAACCAGTCCGTGTACAGTCACATTCATATTGATCAAAACCTTTTGTCATGCAAAAACCTCGATTTTGGCATGGATTTGAACAGCAAGGATTGGCTAAAATAGAATTAAAACATATGAAGCAGTTTGAGCTAAAATCCTGTAAAGTCCCATTAAATTAGTTCCATCCGTGCAAATACATAAATCCTTCTCATTCAATACCATCATATCACATTTGATTTATGAAGCATTTTGCTACACCATTGAGATTGACAAACCTCATCCAAGGCACAAAAAGCCACAGGATAACTTGTTTCAGCAGCCAATATTTAAAATGTCAAAATACCAAAAGGTCCCAAAAGTGGTTTGTGACTGGAGAAGGGGGAGGAGAAGGCTACCATAGACTGTGAGTTGTAAGCTACATTATTAAATACTTGAACATGCTTTGCTTTTCCAGTGATAGTTGTATTAAGATGATATGTTTTAGATTTACATTCTGCCTTGCCTTTAGGAACATTAGATGGTATACATTTCTTCCTATCTTCCTATCTTTTTCCAATCTTTTTCCCCATCCCCAACACAGTTGCGGTAAGGGAGCATAACTTGCCCAAAATTACCCAGGATTGAGGATGGACTTGAAGTTGGATTTTTCCACACTAGAGATTAAAATGTTAACCATTATATCATACTGGCTCCGCAAAGGGGCTAGTTAGTGCTATTGAGACTTTTCCTCTAAAGCACTTTGCAGCCTTATTTGAGATGCCAATAATTGATCCTGGAAGTTTTGTGATGAAATGCTTATGCTCTACCGTTAAGCTCTATGCACTGTAGTGAAATAGGTAAAACGGCTGAATATTAATTTCAGCACTAGTAGGGAGGACAGTGTCTCCCAACCACATCAGAGGAAGCCAAGCTAACTTAGGGGTGCAGAAAATGATGAGGGACAATCATAGTTTAGTCTCCCTATAAGAAAGGATCACAGGCTGCTTAAGAAAGTCAAGCACCTATCTGTATTCTGTTGAGATGGCTCTTGGCTGGGTAACATTTCTCACACCAATATGTGCCAAACATATTAAAATAGAGATTCAAAGGGTCAGGAAATATGAGGGAAAAGCTGTGTTTGTTAATCCTTGTTGCATCCTCTTCCAGAAACATTTCCATTTCTACTTTTAACATATTTTGTCAGAAAATTAGCAATTTTGTTATGTCAGAAAGATATTTAAATAACAGAAAATGCATCTTTCTCACAGGGCTGAGCCCTGCATCTATAAAAATCGTGAATCCCCCAAATCCAGTATACCTATTTACACTTGAGCAAATCCCACTAAATATCAAGTTCACTTGTACATTTTAGGATCGACATTCTGTGGCACTCGCCATCAAACAACCCTTTGTACCCCCTTTTTTAAAAAGGTAAGAGATTCCCTCAACCTTTATTTCTGCATAAAGTTAAAAGTCATCAGGAGTAAAATTAAAAATAAAATAAAAACCATGCCCTTGGAAAGCTTTGGTAGACGTCAAAAGAGAAAGCCAACAATAGGGAAAGAAGAAAAAAATCGTCCAAAAAAAATAAAATAAATAGGAATACTAACCTGCTTGACTGAAAGCCAAGAGAGAAAAGAAAAACAGGGCTGGAACAACCATGTCCAATTTGGGGCAGAAAACAGCCAAGTCGGCGTCCACTTAACTTCTCCTTAACTCCTTAACTTCTCCTGAACTTTCCTACTCAGGGGAAGTTTCTCCGTCGCCGCCGCGCGAAAACTATTCAGCTCGACGTGACTCTGGATGCGATCCGGATCTCCTTCTGCCTTTATGCTCCTTCGGTGACTCAAGTCCTTCCCGGAAGGCTTCCGGGGACCGCCCTTCATACGCAAATTGGGTATAGGGTGGAATACTTGTTTTGGGATGGGATTTTCCTCAGGTGATTTCCATCAAAGTAAGCTTCCCCTCCTCCTCTCCGAGCGGCTGCCAAATCCAGGGGTGGGTGGGTGGTGGTGGGGTGGTGAAAAAAAAAAAAAAGTTGCAAGTGGGAAGACTTGGGAAACGGCACGCAACGAACGTGCCACTTCCTTCCCGCGTCCCCCTTCCCCCGGCTCGCCGCGGGGAGAGTCAAGCCCTCCTTCGGGCCGCTAGGGAAAGCCGAAGTTTTGTTTGTCGCCGACTTCGCACGCCCAGTTCGGGGCTGCCGTCTGCTGCGCTCGAAATCCTCGCTCGGAATCGCTCTCTCGTGCCTAGAGAGCGTCCCTTCGTTGATCCGACGGCTTTTTCTACGTTTGCCCCAAGCTTTACCTGCCCTTCAAGGAACCGGGGCAGCCTTTGCTCCGTCGCTGCTCTTCGCCTCATTCGCTTCCCTTCATCATCCTCAGACACCCTTTACATTGCAAAATTATGTGGCCACTAATAAAGCACTACTTGCTTTGCCAAGTGACAAAGCGCAGGGTGGCTTTCCCGCAGCTCGGTTTCTCTTTTCTTTCCCCGTTTTTCCTCGGCTGACGAGAAAGAACCATTTTTTCCCTCTACCGCTTCCGGTGCGAGATTTCAGCCGCTTGCAGCAGCGCGCTGTTTCTTTCTTTTTAATGGTCGACATTCCTTATTTCGAGACACGCTGGTATTGTCAAGGGAACCTTGGAGCAACCAAGGATTATTTACTTGGTTTTAAACCAAAATAAAACCAATTTTCTGTTTCGTTTGTGTTCTTAAAGAACGCCTAGGTGTCACACAACCTTCTTGTGACCATATATAGGTAGTCCTTGACTTCCAACACTTCATTTAGTGACCGTTCAAAGTGCAGACAAAAAAGCGACTTATGGCAGTTTTTCCACACTTAACAATCATTGCAGCACCCCCATGCTTGGCAACTGAATTTTGTATTTATGTGATTTCCCTTTTGTCACCTGAGAAGCAAAGTCAACGGGGAAAGCAGTTTCACTTAACAACTGTGTTACAACTTTACTAACTGCAGTGATTCACTTAACAACTCTGGCAAGAAAAATCATAAAATGGAGCAAAACTCATTTAACAAATGTTTGACTTAACAACAGAAATGTTGGGCTTAAATGTGGTCATACATTTTGTAAACACTTCCTTCCAGAGGTGTTGGAACAGCCATGGAGGGATTCATAGTTTTCTGTTTCCCCTTACTTACAAGAAAATAAGAAAAGTTTAAAATAAGACAATTCTCCCCAATTGGGAAGTCGGTGGACATATCTGGAGATTTAAAAATGGGTTGTTGGTGCAATCACAAAATCATTACTGTGCGAGTTGACTCTCCACTAGTCATTCGGGTTTTCCCCCACTTCTGAGAGAAACTTTGAATCAGCAAAAAAAAAGGATGCCAACATATTAATTTCCTATTGGCGACTTGGACATTTTGGCTCTTTTTCAACTCACTGCAGTTACTCGAGTTTCAGAGGTGGGTATTCAGCAGGTTGTGACCAGTTCTGGAGAACCGGTAGCGGAAATTTTGAATAGTTCGGAGAACCAGCAAATACCACCTCTGACTGGAGATTTTACAGTATCCTTCCCCTGCCACGCCCACAGAACCGGTAGTAAAAAAATTTGAATCCCACCATTGAAAGTTTCTTCCATTTGCAGCTATTCATTTTATGGGAATGCATAAGCTAGATTCTTATAGAGACTCTGTTGAGATGACTTGCAGCTCAAAACCTATGCCTTTTCATAAAGTGGCTATTTAGAAAATATGCTACCAGCCTTTGTTATTTTTCCCCATCATAAACTACCATGACTCTCCTCCTACAATGGACTTGTTTCTGAGAATGGTGACAAAGCTTAACCAATGATTACAGCCCTTGGATTATTTTTGGAATAAAGAAAAAAGCAACATTTGAACACACAGTTAAGCCTGTTTCATGCTGGAGAAGAGACAAAGGGAACACAGTAGAAAAAAAAAGGTACTAGAGCATATATGTAATCGTGCTTGGAGTTACAAAGTGGAGCAGTGCACTCAGATTGGCAAAAGGCAATACAAGCTGAAGCCTGTCTCAGCTGTCTAGCCAGATGCTACTTCTCTTTCTTTCTCTTTCTCCCTTCTTAACTGTTATTTAAGCATTTAAACCCCAATCATGAATATGAATACAACAGCTGAGTTACATGACATACAAAGTTATAGTTTGTTGAATAAGCCCCCATATGACTAATTTAATGGCCTGAATTAAAGGCCATTAAACAATCACAATGGCTAGATTGATACTATCATGCCCATGGTGGAGACTGACTCTGAGGGAGAGGAGGAACAGGTGATAGGGAGTGGAAGTGTGGCTCTGGAGGTTGTGGAAGAGGCTGGGGAAGGGCAGATTCCAGCTTGGGCAGTCAGAGGAGGACCCAGGCCCATCCTAGGGCATACAGGGAGGAGAGGATAAGGGAGAGATTGGTCTACTTGGAAGGAGAGGGCCTTGATCCTCTTCATGGGCTGCAGCTGTGACAACTGAATAAGAGGAAGGACATGTCTACTGAACGATGGAAACAAAACATGGAATTATCTCTAGTTTTATGATTTCTTTCTGAGTTTAGTGCCCTTCCCAGTGTGTGTTCTGTTATCTGCGGACCGCCTCCAGCCTTATCTTGCCTGGTATTGTGTTGCTTTTTTCCTCCTCCTTTTAACTCTTTGTGTGGGAGTTTTTTGTCTTCCATCAAGGATATTTGGAGCTTGGAGGCAAAGTGAAAGAATAAAAAGGGCTTCACTGGGTTTTTGTGACTGTGTTTGTTTTGTATCCCACCCTGGGTCATCACAGACACCAAACATGAAGACAAAACTAATTATCCTGACTAAGTAGCATATGCAAACCTGGCCAATTTTAAAAAATATGCAGTGAGTTAAGATATTTAACGTGGAGACCTCTTATTTGTGCATTTTCCCTCTCCTGTTTGAGGCAGACAGCATATAGATTTTGGTGAAAACTAAATTAAATAAATTAAATATTTAAATGCACAGAGTACATTTGAGGAAGTATCTAATGCTATTTTGAAAAGATTTCCTCATCATAGCGCCTCAAGGTATGCTGTAAAAATAATTCCTTTGGCCATGTTGTGAATTCTTGGAGTTACACAGGTTGTATTCTCCACATATCTATAAGCTGATATAAAATATGTGGCATCTAAGCCTACCTGATCTGACTTGGAAGCTAACCGGGGTGGGATTCAAATTTCTTAACAACCGGTTCTATGGGCATGGCCTAATTTGTGGGTGTGGTTAGGTGGTCATGTCATGGGTGGGAGTGGCTTGCTGACTTGGCATGGCTAGGTGGTCATGTGACTGGGGTGGGCATGGACACGTGGCCATGTGACTGGCAACCCAAATTTAAGTGGTCCTCTCTTAATGACCAGGTCCTCCCTTAGCGGCCAATTGCTTAGGAAGTGTTTTTTACCAGTTTCCAAGGCCTGGGAGGGCAAGGCGAGGCTTAGGCAGCTACGAAGAGCTACAGGGAGGGTAAGGCGAGGCTCGGGCAGCTACGAGGAGCTACGGGAGCTACGGGGAGGGCAAGGTGAGGCTTGGGCAGCTATGAGGAGTTACAGGGAGGGCAAGGTGAGGCTCAGGCAGCTATGAGGAGCTATGGGGAGGACTGGGCAATGCCCTGGCAGCTATGAGGAGCTACGGGGCAGGCACAGCAAGGCTCAGGCAGCTACGAGAAACTACAGGGAGGGCAAGGTGAGGCCTGGGGAGCTACAGGGAGGGCTGCAGAGGGCTGGGCATGGCCAACTCATCATCACTTCTTTGCCCTAATGACTAAGTATTAAAAAAGATATATCGAAACAAAAGGTAGTTTATTATGTCATGTCTTTAATAATTAAATAATAAAAAGGTACACAAAACTATATTGTTACAACATTTAAAAATATTAATCAAAAACTATTACATAACAAAACTTTACGAAAAACAATAAAACTTATTTAAAGTACTCCCAAATTGCTTTTCTATTATCGTCCCAAGTTACAGTTTTCTTGTGTTTAACACGAGCATCATCAGCTGTGTGATGATGTGCCTGTAACCACTTCTTTGCTATAGGAACAGGGTCCCATTTTTTTTATAAATTTTGTATTGATTTTTAAAAACAAACATAAACAAACAAAACATAAAACATAAAAACATAAAACATCTTTTTTGAAAGCAGCTTGATCCCGGGTTACATCTCTTCATACATACACAAATTCAAATTCATGTTCATTTTATATACCATTCCATATCTTATTACCATTCTACATTTTCTATATAGCTTCTCCCCTCTTTTAATTTTCTTAATTTTATTTATTTCATCTCAATTCAGATCATTATACTTATATTCTTTGTCTGTCCTGTTTCTAGCTGTCTATTATCTTTTCTCATTAAACAAAATTTTTCCTGTAATCACTGATTGGAGTATGATGCCTTTATATCTTTCCCCTAAATTTATAACACTTAGTATAATACATAACTTCCATTCGGATTCTGCTTAGTACATTCTAAAGTTACACACTATATTTTAAAAAGAGAAAAAATTATAAATATATAATATAATTAAAACAACAATCCATACCAATTCAAATCTATTGTTAATATTAGTATTCATTTAAATCTTAAACATTTTACACATTACTTTTCAAATAAGTATCATACATATGGGAACACTTACAAAATTTCCATAGTTACT